ATGTCATAACTTATGCGGCTTGTTACAGATCATGATTACTTCTTCATTTTTTCGGTTATTTGGGTTAATCAGAAGAAATGAAATGCTACAAAGTAGGCATCGTTCTCCAACATTCCCCTCACCCGTACTGAAAACATCAGTAGCATCTTGGCTTCGGATGTCTTCCGATTATACGGTTTTTACATGCACGTAGCATCGGTGGGGCAGTTATCTCGTAGAAGACAGCTAGCTAGAGCAAGTGTCGCTGCAGGGACCTTATTGGATCTTGGTATCAGCGCAATGATGAATTTCTGGGAGGTACCGATGAGCAAGGCTTAAAGCTTAGAAATCAACATCTATATGACTGTAAGGGACATTTCGGCTGTTGGTTTGATCTCCGACCCCAAAAGCAAAATCTTTGGTCGTTTGAGGTGAAAACTGCAGTAAACGTTTGCTACTTAATCATTGTAATTAATTTCTAATCAGCACAATTAATTGCCGTAATTATCTTCCGAAAGATAATTTCGAATCGCGACGGGTTTCCATGAGTTTTATGCCACTCTCTTATTCTGAACTAAGTTTGTTCTCGTTCGTATTACGGGCAGTCGAGACTGCAGATCGTCATTTTAACTGGGATAGTTTGCTAATGCTCTGCATGGCGCATTCGCTTTTGGTAGATTTTGCTAACGCACTTTTCTGCTGGCACGATGATTCGACTGTCTTGCATTTAACTTGCTGATAATTGTTTTGTGATGTTAGAGAATCCTGATTAGAGCCTCATTCATGTTAGCTTATTTCGTTGTGACGTGGTTTTGCGTTGTTAAGCCTAGATCACGCAGGATATCCATTAATCACAGTTTGTGTGAAATGAATAAATGGCATGAGTCATTCATTATACTCTTTTTCTGGAAGAATGCGGACTATCATTTCAGTTCATCTCATTATTTTTTGATATTATATTTTTTTTATGTATAACACTATTTTGGACAGATTTGCGATTCATCCTAAATGTTTCTGGGTTCAGAAACTGACCCCGGATATTGTATCCGGTCATGTGGCAGATTTCACTCCATTTCACCATAACATTGGTATTATGTATCGGTCATCTGTGGAATTTGCTTACCTCGATTTTTGCAGATCCAGTAAAATATCCAGATGCAGCCCTGTATCCACTCATTGCAGGGGATACCGTAACACACTTGTCCTGAAAGTCAGCTTAATTGGTTTCATGCATATATGAACAGGATAACCGTTTTGCTGATACTCTTCGTTTGGACGTTACATACTGAGATGTTTAGGATGTCAACGTTTCATCCACTCCCTTCACGGGTTATTGAACCGGAGCAGCGGTCAAGTCCCGTTGCGTACCTCACCGGTCAGCTAATGAGATCGTGAAAACCTGGGCCTTGCAGCTTGCATCAAATTAATATGTCAAGAATTTTCCGATAACACCGCTCAGATGTAAGGATTAGAGCATAGAGGTGAACACTCGTACCTGCTTATCTGAGGAGAACATGATCCTAAAGTGTGTTTATTGAGCTTGAGTCATTAGCATAGACAGTGCGTCTGTGGTTTGTGATTTTCCGTGTTGCAGCCTTTCAGCATGTTTACCAAAAGGCACCAGTTACTGCAGGTCAGCCTTTACCTATTGACATACTGCTCATGCAAAACACAACTTACAAAGGTACTGTACGTTTCTATAAACAAGACGTGGTAATGCGTTGTTTTGTGATT